TCTCTCGATGGCCGTCTTTAGCTGATGGCAGTCATCGGTTCTGTGCCCTTGGTGCCGATGGAAGCAACAGTATGGGAACTGAGGGTTGATAGCATGTACCTCCGGGGGTGCGCGAGAATCGCGCTCAACGAGGCCCCTCTCCTCGGCAAAATCAAGGATGATGCTGACGGGGTGTGTCAATGGTGTCCGGGGGTGGTCCAGGAGAATGGGTTGTGCCCAAGTCTTAGGGTTGCTCTTATAACCTCCCCCGGGTTTGGCTTGGCCTTGCCGAGGGCGGTCATCAGAGGGTCCTGAAGACTTGGGGTGATTTGGAGGAGCCCTCGGTCCTCGGTTGTTCTTGTTGTTAGCCTTCGGAGTTTGCTGATCCGGATGCTGGTGGTATTTCTCCACCTCCTCGGCCTCAGCATATCGGTCCCCCCGCTGCAGGGCCCTTATGTAGTCGCGGGGGGGGGGGGGGGGGTTCAATGATGAGGCTCCTTGAAAAGTTGCCGGTGCGGAGGACGGTTTGCAGGAGGGCCAGGAGGGTCCCGTCGTCAGCACCGTCGACTTTGTCAGCTTCCGTTCTCCAGCGCTCCAGGAAGTCCCGAAGGGTCTCATCCCTCCTTTGGCGTATGGTTAGGAGGTGGGAGAAGTGCTTCCTCGTGCGACGCCTCCCGGCAAATTGCGTCAAGAATCGATGGGCGAGTTCTTTCCACGAATCAATGCAACCTTCGGGCAACCGGTTGAACCATTCGTATGCCGGCCCCTCTAAAGTGGAGAGGAACCAACGACACAAATATTCGTCCGACGCCCCTACCATCATCATGCTGTTCTGATATTTGTTGTAGTGTTCCTGGGGGTCCGTCTTCCTGTTGTAGGGCTGTATGTGTTGCCCTCGGTATTTTTCCGGGATCCGGGCCGCCAGTACCCTTGGGGTAAATGGCGTCCGGGTCCGGAGCTGGATGACGGGTTCCCCGGAGCCCTCGGCTACCTTCTTTTGTAATTCCTTCGTTTTGGCCATCATGGCCTCGTATTTGAGGTCTGAATGAGGGGTGGAGGTGGTGGCGTGAGCTTTGTTAGCCTCCATTTCATCAAGCCGGCGTTGGAGGGCCGCAATAATTTCGTCCCGGGGGTCCTTCGGGAGGGTCTCCGCCCCCTGCGAACGAACCCGGGCCGAGTGGGCCTGGTTGATTTGGTGGCGAGCATCGTCGGCCTGAAGGGGTGCCTTGCCTTTGTCCCGAGGGGGACGCTCCTCGTCTGCCCTCGAGACAGACCCTCCGCTTTCCTGGGGCCTTTGGAGTGCTTTTCCTCCGAGGCGGTCTTGGACCCCTCGGCGGTCTTGCCCCCCTCCGAGCCGGTTGAGGGCGGAAGTGTGGGGCCTTTCTCTGTTGTCATTGTGGCGGTCCCGGGACTGAACTTCCTTGGAGGCCGTATCTTGGGCCACTACCCCTTCGTCATTCCTAACCCGAGGGATGGGATTTCCAAAGGGGTGTGGCAGAGGGGGAAGCATGATGTTCTCCCCAACCTGGGGTGGAGCCAGAGCCAGGGTGCCGAAGGCACCCGGGTTCTGAGTTAGCGTCTGGATGAAGGCGGAGAGCGCCGAATGAACGTCGATGGTGAGGACCGGAGGGCTGACTTGGTCATCGCTCCAGTTTTTCTTCTTGGCCTCGATGCCGAGGCGGGCATCGGGGGCATTTTGCTGGATCTGAAGGCGTAGGTCGACAGCCGCCTGTTCCAGCCCAGCGAGGACACCGCCCTCGGGAGCCCTGTGAGAGGCTTCGGGGGCGTTGACGTCGCCGAGGGCCAGGTTCTTGTCTTCTACGTTTTTGGAGTTGGCACGTGTTGTTCTCACCATTTTGGTAGAGGGCTAGTGTTTGGCGAAGGGGGAGGGTTTCTTACTTGATCGTTCGACCTCTCAACGAGAGCACCAAATGATGGATAGTGTACCCGGGGGTAGCTTATCCGAGGGGTTATTACGGGGAGTAATAAGAGAGAAGTCGGAGCAAGTAAATATAGAGAGAGAAAGTATATTACAAGTGTGGAGCATTTTCATCGTGGTTAAAAATGGGGAAATGGGGTGCTATTTATAGTAGCAATAAATGCCAGACAGGGACACGTGTCAAGCGTCCATTGGCCGAGAGGTCACCTCAACTGGTTGGCGCTGGCAGCCGCATGTGACCGCATTTAATGCGGCAGTTGGATGGGACGTTGTACAGGGTACGGTGATTTGTACGCATGTGGCGCGGATATTATGTCGGGAGAGGTGCCCTCGGCTGCAGAGGACTAGCCGAGGGCTCTGAGTGCCGGGGACCCCTGGGTGCCGAGGGCTCCAGGTGCCGAGGGCTACTGTTTTCTGCCGTTTTTCCCAGTTTCTTAGTTTGCTTGAAAACTCATTCTGTGAGAGTTTTGAGCCTTCGGCCAGGGGGCCGAAGGCTCCCCATTGTGCGCTGTGGGCTGCTAAATGCTTGGGGTGCCGTAATATGGGGCTTGCTGTGCTTCCTGGGCCGGTTGGGCCTTTATTGGTGTAGTAGGAGTCTGTGGGCCGGGGGTTCCCGGGCCATATACTCCATCAGCGTCCTCCGCCTCGGCTTGGCGGTCGGCACGGCCGAGCGCCTCCTCGTACGAGGTAGGGGGACTTCTGACGAAATCTTTATAAAGCTTGCTCGACCGAATAGAGTTTGTGAGCATGGCCACCCTGGTCCTATCATCAAGGCCCTGAACCTTGACTGACTCGGCCCTCCACCTCGTTAAGAAGGTTGACAATGATTCCTTCTTCCCTGGTTTTAGGCTGAACAGGTGGCTGAAGTTCTTCTTGACATCTCGGGAGCTCGCGAACCTCAAGAGAAAGCGCTGAGCCAACTCACAAAAATTCGTGATACTCCTGTCGGGTAGAGGGTCATACCATTCACGAGTCGGACCATCCAAAGTGGCAGAGAAACCACGTCATCTGATGGCGTCTTCATACCCCATCATCACCATGTAGGAAAGGTACCGAGACACATGATGTTAGGGGTCTGAAGTGCCCTTGTATGCTTCGATGGCGCAGGGCTTATAGCCCATGGGCAACGGTGCATCCATGACCGCCCGGGTGAAAGGATCGGGTATCCGGAGGTCGGCCGTGTAAGGCTCCCCCCGACAACCCTTCTTCTCAACTCGTCGAGGCGATGTCGTAGATCTTCCACCTCGGCCGGCAGTGGGTTTCCCCGGACAGCCCCAACGCGGGGCTGGGCATGTCCAGCGGCACCTCCAAGTCGTCCGTGCACGTGAGGTCAGGGCCCCACGTTTTGCCTCTCCATGGAGCCAATCCGACTGCTCTCTTGGTGAGAGTGGCGAGAGGGCTCGCCTCCCTTCATTTGCATTGAGCGCCCCTGTCGGGCGCCCCTCCTAGTCTGCCATTGGGACCGGCTAAGCTGCTGGGAGACTTCTTCCCTTCTTTGTTGGTTGGATCCAGAGCGTCGCTCGTCACGCCGCCTTGAGGACACCTCCACATCTGCCAGCGTCTGTTGACGGGCAGGCTCATCCATGTTTCCGTCAGACACCATTTGCTGGAAACCTTGAGCCAAGGCCCCCAGAACTCGAGTTGCCTCCTGTAGGGCTTCCACCCCAGTGTGAGTCGAGTCGGGTTCATGCGCGGAGCATGACGTCGGCCTCCACCTCGCTGGCTGTAGACCGAGCGCTCACCTTGGGTGTGGTTGAGCGTCGCCCTCAGTTCGCCGTGGACTCACAACCGGTTTCGAAAGTCACCTTGGCGTGCTGACCCCTGCCTTGTCCGTGGTTGTCGGGGGCACGCTGGCGGCTAGGCCGGGGTGGATTCCTCGGTGTGGACTGAGACATGGTCACGTCGGGACAAGATTCCGGCCATCTTCCTTTGTGGATTCCTCGGTGTGAGAGACAATTATCGGCTCTCAATGAAAGCACAAATGTTGGTCCAAAATAGGACGCTCGTAGGCTTTTAGGAAAACTACGTACGACACTCAAGCACGAATCAAGAAAGTAATATAAATAAGGAAAGTTGCAAAGAGAATTTGGTAGCCAGAAATAGCATATCTATTATTTGAATCGAACTTGCCTTTTACAGGCGATTACAAATGGTAACTGCCAAAGATACTAATGGCTAATTAATTACAACATTAATACGGAATTAAATACATAATTAATAGCGCATTAACTGATGGCCGTTACTTTTCCTGGCTGGTGGGTTGGCCTGGATGGCAGGCCGAACGCTTGAGCTCCCTCCTGCTGGACTGGACGATAGGCTTCCCGTTGGTCTGGAGCCAGGCTCCTGACCGGGTCGGAAGGCAGGCTCCCCGTCGGGTCGGAGGCAGGCTATTGGTTGGGCTGGAAGGCAGGCTCCTTGCTGGGCTGGAGGCAGGGTACCGACTGGGCTGGAAGGCAGGCTTCATGCTGGGCTGGAGGCAGACTGCTGACCGGGCTGCAAGGCAGGCTCCCTGCTGGGCTGGAGGTCGGGCTGGAAGGCAGGTCGTACGTCTTGGGCTTCCGCTCCTTGATGGTTGGGCCGGCTCGAGCTCTGGATCGTCGAGCTTGGGCCTGCTGATCCAAGTTTGGGGCCTGAGCCGATTAGGCTCTCGGCCTAGTCCCATAACCCATCATGCACAACAGTTTCTATGCAAAATAAAACTAATTTAAACCGTCGACTATTTATAAAACCATTATCATTTTTTCTTTTACAAATTACTATCTCTGTCCCGTCAGGATTGTCCCATTTTACCTTATCGGTCTGTCCCACTAAGATTGTCTCATATCAAATTTGGTAAAGTTTGTGTTGTTCTAAATCATTCTTACTTTATTCTTACTTTATCAATTGAATATCAACCCACATAAATTACTTTTTATTAATTTGCGTGTCACTCCCTCTTGTCCCATTGTTAGCGAGACGGATGGAGTAATATTTTTTTAAGTCACTACGAATAAAATTTATGGAAAAATAAAATGAAATGTTTTAAAGCATCGTCATATCATCATCATCACCATCACGTATGCAAACGTGCCAACATACGACCGGACATGACGAAACTCTGTTCATTTACGTTTCTTTCCTCTGCCACTTTCCGCTCCAACCCAGAGCAGAAGGAAAAAACGACAGAAAGAAACTTTGTGTACAGAACTTTATGGCCGATCGTATAGATTTTTCCTCCGGCTGGGCAAAAAGAAGATGACACATTGCCGAAGAAACTACCGCCACATAAAGCCTTAAATCACGGCGCAATCTAGCATAAACCCGTCAAAAAGTCTCCGTTTTTTCGCGCCACTCCGTTTTTTTCCTTGAAGCCAAACAAACCAGTTCGCCGCAGGCGCATTTTAGCTGCTTCGTTTTTCATTCTCGATTGTCTTCCGTTTAAGGATTAGTAACCACTCTCTACCAGGTAATCCGCCATGCTTTCTCTGTTTGCCCCTTTCTCTCTCACTGTCTCACAGTACATCTCTTTGCACCCCATACGTTAGGACAGTTCTAAAGGCTCAATGCTTCCCTACGTACAACGATTAGACTGACGATTTAATGAATTCAGCAACGCGTATATAAATCTTCTTCGCTGATTGTGTGTGAGTGATCGTTGAATCTGGAGAGTCGTGGTTTATACTGTACCAATCATTTCGTAAATCTCTCGTCCTCTGTTTGGGATTCATTTCTTCAGTTATAACTTATACGTGGATGCATCAGATCTCGAATTAAATTTAAATGACGTTTTCAACTGAGGAATTAGATCTGGAAGTAATTTAATTTAATCGTCCCTTTCTGGAGAATTTCAAGAAGACGGTCTGCTTGTGTTGCTTGCATGGATGAGAGGATAGGACTAGTATCAATGTAGTAAAGTCACTGTGATCAATTTATCATCCACTAATTTCTGCTGCTGACTCATTTGAATCGAATTCTTAATCTGCAGTGGCTGGGATAGTGAAAGCCTTATGTTACAATGAGAGGGCGTGAAGGAGATATATATTCCACTTACAAACGTGCATTGAACAAGGAAAATCTTCTTCCGCAAGGGAGAGAAGAACCAGGTTCGTTTAGATTGCTTATAGTTTTTTAAGATCTCCATAATGGTAAATATAGTCGCAGCTCCAAATTCCAACATAATATATATTGTGCATCATTTTTTGTTCTTGCTGTGAATGCATAGGCCACTCACAGAATGAGGGTTATGAAGTAGAGGTCGGGAATCCCTCCTGGAAGCGCCCCTTGCCACACATATTGGTCGCTACTCTTTCTTCATTCTTATTTGGTTACCACCTTGGGTATAGTTTCAATCTTAAAATCTATGTACTTTTTGTGGCAGATTAAATAAAATATCTGTCTATGATACATAACTTTGATTGTGGAATTTGGATATTAGGGTTGTTAATGAGACTCTAGAAAGCATTTCTTTGGATCTTGGCTTTGCTGGTAGTACAATGGCTGAAGGTATCTATTTTCTGAGATCAATCTTCAGTGTACTTCTCTTCTTGATCTGTTTGTTCCCCTTAATCTTTTTCTTTTTTATACTTCTGTTTAAGGAGTAAGCATTTTTCAAATGCAGGTCTGGTGGTCAGTACGTGTTTAGCTGGAGCATTTGTTGGCTCTATATTTAGTGGTTGGATAGCTGACGGGGTTGGTCGGCGTAGAGCATTTCAATTGTCCGCTTTGCCAATGATCATTGGTGCTTCTATCAGGTAAGATCCATCCCATATTGTATTCTTACATGCTCACAAGACTGGTAAATAAATCTTTTAGACAATGATTCTATGAGTAGTTGTTGGAGACATGTGAGGAGGTTACAGTGACCAGATGAATTTAAATGCAAAATAAGAAATAATTAATGGGTCATTGCTACTACGGGATATACCGGGTCTTGCCCAAGTTCACTAACAACCTCTTTTTCGTGAGTAGTTTTTTGTGTAAAATGTATATGAATGACAGGTGCTTGTGCCTAAGTGCAGTGCCTCAACAAGTACTCTTGGAAGCATGCTTATTGGAAGGGTGCTTGTCGGTACAGGGATGGGTCTTGGTCCACCTGTTGCCGCTCTCTATGTAGCAGAGGTACCACATTTGATATATTTATCTCATTATACATGCTCCAACCAAGAAGTACTCCTGTGTCTAGCTCGTTTTACTATTGCATTACCATGCATAATACAATAAGCTATATGCTTATATGTTTGAGCAGGTTTCACCTGCCTTTGTACGAGGTACTTATGGGAGCTTCACTCAGATTGCAACATGCATTGGTCTCATGTGTTCTCTCTTCATCGGCATCCCATCCAAGGATGTTGTTGGCTGGTAAGACACAGTGGATTTTGGTCATGGCCTTAGTGTTTGCATACTCTTGTGTAGGAACTATTACTAAAGGCTACCAAGCCTGCTTTTGAGGAAATATCACTACATTTGTCCTTTCTTATAGGTGGCGAGTTTGCTTTTGGGTGTCTTCTATACCGGCAGTTCTACTTGCTATATTGATGGAGTTCTCTGTAGAAAGCCCCCATTGGCTTGTTAAGGTTAGTACGTTTTTGCCAACTCAACATTTCCTTATTTCTGTGTCACTTTTCACTTAGATGTTTTCATCACCATCATCGTCACCTTAATCCCAACAAGTTGGGGTTAGTGGTATGAAATTTATAGTGTTAACTAATAATCTGTTAACACTATAAGTTCATGCAAAAAAAGTGGCAAGTTGGTAACTGGAATTTTTTTCCACTTTATGCCCTTCCTGTTACAAACTTGTGAAGAAATTAAGAAGGAACAATGAGATGACATTCTATAACCGTCACCATCATTGCTATTTATTTCCACTTTTTGCATGGAAACTATCATGACTCATGAGACAGTGATGAATTGCGATATTTGCAATTGGCATATTCATTTCATGATTGGTATTATCATTTAAATCTGTAAATCATGAAACTTTTAAAATGTGTCTCCTGTTTATTCCTGTTATGTGGTTAGATGAGAAAGTAAATCCACTTTATATTCAACCAGAGCACCTATTATAAACATTTAAACCTAATAAGTTTCTTATGGGCATGCAGTTGCACATATTAGCAATTTTACTATGTGTATAAAGTTCCAAGCTCTAAACATTGCGCTCTCAAACTTTTTAAAATACAACTGTTCTATTTTTTGTGGACTTGGCACAGAGAGGAAGAGTTGGAGCAGCTGAAGAAGAACTCGGAAGACTGATGGGAGGGTCACATGTTAGTTTCGCGATGGCAGAATTTTCCAAGTCAGACAAAGTAGATGAGGGTGATAATGTTAAGATGTCAGATTTAATTTATGGGCACTATTTTAGAGGTATAAATTCATGGCTGAAAGTGCAGTATAATGTCCTCATTTTCTTCTTTCTCTTCGTAAAGGCAATCACTCAATGATCCTTTATTTGCTATGGCAGTGGTTTTCATCGGGTCTTCCTTATTTGCTTTGCAACAACTGTCTGGTATAAATGCTGTCTTCTATTTCTCTTCAACTGTATTTAAAAGTGCTGGAGTACCTTCAGATATCGCAAACATATGTGTAGGGGTTGTAAATTTGACAGGTATGCTGGGTTGCATATCCCTTTGTTTTGAACACCAAGTTTTTGCCGACTGCTTTACTCTTTGAAGTGTGATACTTGTGTGGACTGTAGATGTTATTACTTTGAAAAAATGCTATACTCCGTATTAAATTACATGTATCCCATTACCGTAGTCTCCACTGTCCATGTAGCAATGCTTTATTAATTAATGTATTTGGTGCCTTTAATGACTGCAGGGTCCATTATTGCCATGAGTTTAATGGATAAACTAGGAAGGAAGGTGCTTCTTCTGTGGAGTTTCTGGGGAATGGTATCTTAAACATTCTTCTATAGAGTAATTTATATTGGCCAACCAATAAATATGCATCACTGAGAGAGGTCAGCTGCCATTTTACATGCCTGTTGAGAATTTTTTTCACTTCTTTGTTCAGGCGGTTGCAATGTTCTCTCAAGTAATGGCAGCATTTTCATTCACACCGGACTCAGCAAAAGTATATATGTCTGTTGGTGGCATCCTAATGTGAGTAACATCTGCTTGAAAGCAGATGAAATTGTAGTCTTTGTTGTTGTTTGTTGTTGCCATGACTTTAATTACAAATTTTGAGTTGATTATGCAGGTTTGTCCTGGCATTCGCTTTTGGGGCCGGGCCGGTGCCTAGTCTGCTCCTATCAGAGATATTCCCAAGCCGAATTAGGGCGAAAGCAATGGCTATCTGCATGGCTGTACATTGGGTAATTCTTTCTCCACCTAGCCCCCCCTCCCCCGTTGTAATGATCAATTGCTCTCCCTCATTGACTTCAGCCCCGTTTGGGACAAATCTCTGTTTTCAGCTTTTGTTTTACGATTTAAAGTAACATGATATAATAAGACAAAACTACTCATACTTATTAGTAACCATGTTTATTTTGAAAACTGCCAACAGGACACTGAAGTTTCCAAGATTTGGCGTTTGTTTAAAAGAAGCTGAAGTTTGAAAACACACTAATAGCTTGTATGGTTTAATGACAGGTCATAAACTTTTTTGTGGGTCTTTTGTTCTTGCGTTTACTCGAACAACTCGGTCCACAAGTTCTGTATACAACATTTGGCGCATTTTGCTTGATAGCAGTGGCCTTCGTGAGGAGGAATGTGGTTGAAACGAAGGGGAAAACACTTCAGGAAATTGAGTTTGCCTTCATTCTGCCTCATTAGCTGTTGTTAATTGATCCTACCACTCGTTTTTGCTGCAGCTTTTCAGGTAGTTTCATTCTAGACGACATTTCCTCATCCACTAAAAACAGACTGCAATATGAAGGTTGTGTATTTATAGAGTTGGTCGGATCTGCCAAAGATTTAAGGTTTTGTACAAGTACGCAAATAGCATAGAGAGCCACATACAATATTTTAGTCTCCATAAATAATACTCCATATAGTTTGGCTTGGATGCCTTTGGCTGCCTCATATTTTGCACAAACCTTTCATTTTAGGAGTGGTATTGTTACTCTATTTCATCCGAACATTTTTGCATCGCCGTTTATTAAGAGTAAAAATTCTACCCTTTTTTCTTTCTTTCATGATAACTTGGTCTTTTCAGTGAAATAACTGTACTGTTGTTATCAGAATGACCAATGTCTCAACTGCAACTCAAACCCCATGCTCTTGTTACACTTGCCCCAGTATCCCTGACAGACTGACTTCTCACGTGTACTATCTTATGTAGCAGACACACGACGATACTGGCCATGAAGGTTGTAGACTTGTAGTACAACTCTCCAAACGTTATTGTTGCTTTTTGTCGAGGGGAGCTTATACGCTATGATTATGAGGCCGTTTGGCTGTTTTTCCGCTTATTAGTCAATTTTTTCACCAAACACGTAACTTTTACTTTCGCGTGCTGAATTGTGTAATAAGCAGAAAAAGTAAGTTTGGAGTTACTTTTCTTGCTGTATTGACTGAAGTTACTGTAGATGACCATTTTAGCTATTTTTACATATAATTTTTTCTTTATTTTATTAATAAAATATATTTTAAAATTAATTTTTCCTTAAATTAGCAGAATCAGCCAATGCAGCCACTTTACTCGGAACTTCATAAATGTCTGCAGAATCAGCCAAATCAGCCGATTTTCATGCTACCAAACGGGCTCTATAACAGGTTGAAGTGTAGTGCAACATAATTTTTCTCGATTTTTTTAGATTAAACTCTTATGTTTTCTCTATTTAGCTCACTCGCTGAAAGTATCCTGCAAAATTGCTCTTCAGCCCACCTTAACTACGAGTATAATTTTTAGATATGCCCCTGTTTTTGTTAATATTAGGCTAAAGGGTCAAATAGGCCCTTTTACCTTTCCAGATTGTTCAATTTGTCCCCCGAACTCAAAAAAGCTCCAATTGGCACCCTGAACTCCATAAAAAGATTCAAATTTTACTTTTTGCAGGTCACAAACCGGTCACCGCCACATCACCCGGTAGGGTGCCAACTGTGCATGTGACATGGCAACTTAGGGGGTCAAATAAGCCCTTGGACCCGACTGGAATGTTCAATTTACCTCCTCAACCCTTAAAATTTTTTTGACAATTTTTAGGGTTGAGGGGGTAAATTGAACGATTCGATCGGGTTCAGGGGCTTATTTGACTCCCTAAGTTGCCACGTCACATGCACAGTTGGCACCCTACTGGGTGACGTGGCAGTGACCGGATTGAAACCTACAAAAAGTGAAATTTGAATATTTTTATCGAGTTCAGGGTGCTAATTGGAGCTTTTTTGGGTTGAGGGGGCAAATTGAGCAATCCGAAAGGGTACAAGGACCTATTTGACCCTTTAGCCTTAATATTATCATGAGGTTAATGAAATTAAACATACAAACCAACGGTAGAAATAACAAAAACAAATATGGATGCTATACACACATATACATCCAAAACATTACATTTGTAAAAGAGGGTTACAATGTTTTTACTTGGATTGAAAGTTTTTGATCTGGTCTAAACTGGTCTGGTCTAATTTAGTAAATGTCTGATCTCTATGTATTTTATAATTATCCAAACCTGCTTTGATCTGGTATGAGACTGAAAATAGTTCAAATAAAAACATCCCTAGTACCCTTTGGTTGTGCCAATATAGTCTTTTTTAAAGAAGAAATTTTATTGAAACACGAACAAAGGAGTACACGAGGAAACAAAAGGGAGGAAAAAGAGAAAGAAATAACCAAAAGAAGAAACAACAAAAAGGAAAACAAAGTTAAAGATGACCTAACCCGAAGTACCCAAGAGTCCCAAATGTAGACCCAAATATAGACAAACACAGAAGATCACCCAATAGGCCCAAATGGTTCATTCTATACGGTAGAATTCCACTTGGGATCTAGTCTTCATGGTATGCAACCGTTGGTGCCTTTTTTTGTATCATTTAGTTTGAGTATTTAAATTTGATGTAGGCAAAAAATTATCCTTTGTGATCAGCCTCGCTTTAAAACAAATATCCTGATTTGTATCAGAGTCACATAGATCTTCCCTCGATGACAGAGAAGTTCTTTTCTTGCTTTCTGAGGCATGACCAAGAAAATCATCCCCTCAGAATGGGTAGCTCTGCTCAGTCTCAATATCAAGCGTTGCAAGGTGCTCATTACCCGTAAAAACATCTCCCAAAACGCTAGCTTCGAGATTGGAGTGGTTAATAACTTTCTCTTCTTCAATGTGTCTCTGAATTGAATCACGCTCCTTCAATGTGCCAATATAATCTGTGAACATGAAATTGTGCATTCTTCTTAAAAATCAGGACTTCACTTTTCATCTGACTTTATACTTTTAAATACCGTCAGAACTTTTATACCCTTCTGTTAAGTAGATTAATTGTCTAAACGAAACTAGCACTTCAAGGGATTGAAGGCCATCAGAAACGACTCTCCTACTATAGACTCTAGAAGACCGCATTATCTTGTACACTGACCCTTTGACTAGTCACCCTAGTATGTATTGATTTTGCTAAACTTTTTTCACAAATGTACTCTATGATATAATTAATTTTCACAAATTCTACTTTGAAACATATCTATGAAAACTTATTTAAGAATAAGTTTTGTTGATTCTTATTACTTCAACTTTTCTGCCTAGGTGTGCTCATCCAAAATGCTAAGCATCTTTCTCAATTCTTTTTTAGTTTTCCTTACTAACAATCGAGATTACAGTTAGGTATTACTCTCGATGGGGTTAAAGGGTGTGGTCGAGGTAGGGGAAGGTGGTAGGGGGTAAAGGAGTAGGGTTGGGGTAGGGTAAGAGGTTACGAGTGGGGGTAGGGTGGTACGGGGAAGGATGGATGGTAGGGTGGGTTGGGATCGGGGTGAGGCCGAGGTAGGGGAAGGTGGTACAGGGTAAACGGGTAGCGTAAGGGTACCGGGTTGGTGGGGAAAGGCCGGGTGAGGGGGTGGGGATGCGGTAAGGGGGTATGGTCACGGGGTCGAGGTGGGGGTAGGGTAAGATGTTATGAGTGGGGGTAGGGTAGGTAGGATGGTAGGATGGGGTCGGGGTCAGGGTGGGGTCAAGGTGGGGGCATGTGGTAGAGGGTAAAGGGGTACCGAGGGTGGTGGGTGTGGGTGGGGTAAGGGGTATATGGTCGGGGTAGGGGTATGGGTAGGGTAGGATCAGGGTCGGAGTGGGGTCGGGGTGAAGTATGGTAGGTAGGGGTAGGGCGAGTGGGTAGCGGATAGAGGGGTAATAGTAGGGTAAGAGTAAGGGAAAATTCGGAAAATAAAAAAGCTTATAGTGTCGCTTAATTAATACATGTAGGAATGGTATGCTTAGTAGGCGGCACTTTAAGCACCTCTTTCGGTTAGTAAGCAACTTTTTATGTAGCTTGTGTGTTTACTTCACATATCTTACTAACCTAACTGTGACTTTAGCAGCGAAGTAAACACTTCCTATGTGACTATGTATTTTCCTTTTCCGTTCATTTATTTTCAGTTTTGATATACTTTAAGTTACCGTCGATTTTTTATGTTCCTATCATCAGGACATTCCATTTTTCTAGGTGTATTGATTTTTATTTTTCAAACTCAATTTCATCAAATCCCCAAAGTCTCACCAATTCAATACATCGCTATTATGCTTAATTTAATAAATAATCAATATAGTGGTATTGGCAGAGGCCGTCGTGCATAACATTACCCGTCGTGCATATATATTTGTTCAAATAAAAGCTCAATTTCTCATGTCAAATGTAAATGAATAAGGAGCATTTTATTTAAGATCTAAAGGTTAAAAATGTATGGGGGAATTTGACTTTGCACCCCAGATTTTGGGTGATATTGGACTTTGCACCCAATTTTGAAAAAAGTTTGATTTTGCACCCCAACATATAGCATATTGTGAAGAAAAAAATCTCATTGGGGTCCAAAGTCGAAGGATTTTTAAGTGAAATAGGGTGCAAAATCAAAGTTTTTTGAAAATGAGGCGCAAAGTCCAATATCACCCAAAAAGTGGGGTGAAAAGTCAAATTCCCCCAAAATGTATTCCCATTTCACAAATCAATCAAAATTCTCCATCACCGTGTAATTTGCATTGTGAACGGGTAAACTGCGCCGATGCATTTTCAACATCAAGAAAATGTGTTACTTTCAAGTTTCAACTTAAGGTGCATTACTAAAAGGTTAAAGGTGCATTCACTGCCCATTCGTTTGTATTTTTCTCATGAACCCCTCATTTTATTAAACTTTACCGTATTTATAAAGGTACACTTTCGTGATTTGACGATTCCAGTGAGAATGAATTCACATGAAAGAAATGAGAATAAAATATTCCTTTTGAGAATAGTATCCTAGTGCTTAACTTTTTACATGATTTAGATAATGATAGTTATTCCAAATGAAAGAAATAAATGCTACAAGTAAAAAATGATTCATTATTATTTATATTATTGTTCATGTATTGTGCTTTAATTAGATCAGCGTGATCCTATCGAAATTAGAACATTACCGTTTATTACCATTCTAGTTTTTAATACAAATTACAAGCGTGCAATAACTTTGTGTTGATAGTGTACCCAATTTCAACTCATAATAAATTAATGAATACGTTATGGATAGGTGTTTATGCACTTATATAAATAGATGTTTTAAACTAACAGTGTGCAATAGGGATACATAGTTAGTGAAAGAAAAGTTGTATGTGCAGCTAGTTAAAGTATTATGCGCTTGCACATTTTCACACTTTTAAGGTGATCGAATAATATAAAAAATTTCATACTCGTATAATAACGTGAATTAAGCGTAAGTAAGTGGACTTTATTCACGAAGTGATGAAGGTGAAATAGCTGCATGCTCTGCTCATTGTAATGGTTAGCTTAAACTTCCTTCTTAATAATAATTATGTTGCAAGTATTTGTCTTTTTTGAAATGCTAGGTAGACGGAATCCATGCGACGATTAGAATTAACCTTTCAAATTGCGCAGTTTAAGGATTGATGTCCTCAATATTACTGAGTTGGAGGATATGCCGCCGAATGGAGTTGTCACAATACGTGTTTTCAACACACTACAACCGCACAATCATATGTTATAACTTATACATAGTATCCATTATTATTTATATTGTTTGTTTACCTTACAACAGGATCAGGCAATATGGTGCACGTACTTTATGGGACAGTTATATCGATCAAGTTGAACCATATCTTAAAAACAACATTTGAAGTGAATTTTTGAGAAGTGTAATAAATGGTTTACATCTAGATGCTATGTGCAACTGGGAGTGTTGAGGTTATCAAGAATAGTTATTAGGGCCAGTGTTTTTATTTTTCTTTTGGGCCTATGCAGTTTCTATTAGGCCTTAGTTATTTTTGTATTAGGTATAAATAGCTCATGTATGATGTAAGTTAGGTTAACACATTTAATTCTTCTCTCTTTTGATTCTTCCGCATCAATGCTCTGCAATTCATCTTGAAACCATCTCCATCAATCTTTTAGATTTCTTGAGCTCCATT